CTACAACAAATTACATTTATATAACGCCATTCATGTCAGGATTTCGTCCCAAGGCGCTGGACAGTCAGGGTTTTGGACCTGAGCAAGGGGTTGGGGTCAGAGGGGGTAGAGGGCAGGGAGGGTAGGGGTATGTGGGTGGCTGAAGGCACAGTCGAAGAGGAGGGTCTTGAGGAGGCAAAGGAGGGAGCAAGGCAAAGGGACTGTGGGACGGAGATCCAAAGGGTGGGGCAGAGAGGCTAAAGGTCCGACCGTCGGGCCAAGCAGGGGATATGGAGCAGGCTGGAGCCTAGTGAGTGGATGGATTGATATGGCATTAGCAGGTCACAGAGGTAGGAAGGAGCACGACAGTGGAAGGCTTTGAAGGTGAGTTGGCCCAACCAGTCCCTGCCTCTATTTATGTTCAATGAGTCTCCATCCATTCCTTGATCTGCTCACTGCACCGCTCTGGACTGCAACCAAAAAGTTACAAATGTACAGCATTGAAACGACAACAATAACAACAACAACAAATTACATTTATATAACGCCATTCATGTCAGGATTTCGTCCCTATCATACCCTTCTATTCCCCTCAACCTCATGTGAAGGTCTAGCTTCTTCATGAATGCAACTGCACTACCTGAACCAAGACATGCATCACAGAATCACCCGCAAAATGCACACAGCCACATCACTTTACTGTATATCCTCTATCCTCTAAAGCACTTTGAAACATCTCAACAATGTGATAAGGTGCTCTATCAAATATATAATAGTAATAACCTTTGATTTGATATAGCACCTTATCACGTCTTCAAGACGTCTCAAAGCGCTTCACAGAAAATACTGTAAAGTGAATTGACTGTATATTATGGATTATTATTACGATTGTTTCGCCCACAAAATATACAACCACTACACTTTACAGTATATTCTGTGAAGCGCTTTGAGACGCCTCGAAGATGTGATAAGGGGCTATATCAAATGCAAGGATTATCATTATTATTATTGTTGGTTTGGATGAAGACTATTCGGTCTATCTGATTTCATCCCTCCAGAACATCCACCCTATTATCCTCGTATCAGAGCATTAAACTGCTTTTTTTTAAAAAATTTCAATGTCCTGGCTTCAACCAACTTCCTGGCAACCTGTTCCAGTCATTAATTACCCTCTGGTGTCTGTCTTGAAATTGTAATTCCAACTCTAAACCCTTGCCTTCTTATTCTACTGTCTTGGTGCATTCTAATTCTTTGGTAGTTGCATGGTACATGGGTTTACCTTTTCAATCCCTTCATATTTTTCCAATATAAGCTCCCTATGTAATGTTTTCTCTAAAGTCTGAAGATCCTAAGCTTTATCCTAGCTTGTTTAATTGTTGCTCATAGCTCATTTCCCATTCTTTGCGTGCAAATTAGCTATCGCTTTAACCTTCAATACACCAGTCACTACACTCGAATTAATCACTCCTGCGCTGCTCTTCTTAGCCCTCCCGTGCCCACGGCTGACCATGCCCTGCTAATTCTCTGATATCCCATTCCTAGTCTCAGCGTACGCATTTTGGGTGCTACCCCTGACCTGACCTGCCAAACCCCAAATGCCGCCTCTCCTGTCCCTCCAATTTTTCCTATAAAATTCTCCTCAGCCTCCAAACCATCCTCCACCTCCCACATCTCCGACATCTCCACCCTACTAACTTTCCTCTGCCTCTGTTCTGAACGCCTTCTCATCTTAGGCAACTTCCATCTCCACTTCATCCCTTCTTGCTCCACCTCTGCCGACTTCTCCTCCTTCCCCTCCTCCCTCTCTCTCCTCATTAACTCCGCCACTCATATCCACGGTCACCCTTTCGACCTGGTGATTACCCATGGCCTCACCATCTTGGACATCACCATTATTTCTCTTCCTTAACTCTTCCATCCCACTCCCAGCCACCCAATCCACTTCTATCTCCTACCTCCTCTGGAAAAAAATCACCCTGTCTTGAACTCCACAAAAGAACCCATCCGGCTCGCCCACTCCCTTGCCTCCTTCAAGCCCTTCCTTTTCGATCTTCAGTTATCCTCCCTCCTCCACACCCCCCACCCACTTGCCCTCACCCCCTCTCTGATCCCAACCCGGAACTCAGGTGTAAACCCCTCATTGTCCAGCACCTAAGGACATCCTCTAGAAAGGGGCTATATAAGTGCAATTTGTTGTATTGTTAAATCCCGTGAAGCAGGATTCCTAGCAACCACAAGATAAAAGCTGGAGCCAGTGAAATACTGTAGCTAATCCTTATAATAATACAACTGTAATTTGCCAAAGAATGGTGTATGAATGAGTGTAAGTGCATGAGGGAAAATGGGAAGGAGTAGGTGTGAGTGAGTGAACGGATACACATTGTCCACAGTTGCTCAGTGTCCGAGAGTGACTTGCACTCTAGTGAGTATCGAGGATGAGTGTTTTAGCACATAATCTTCATCTCTCCTGTTACAGGATACAGTTACCCCACAGGCTCACTGACTCCACAGTGGAAAATTGATTGGTTTGGATAAAGAAGGTCCATCAGCCCAATTGATTTTATCCTTCTAGAATATCCAACCTACCATTCTCCCCATAAACTGGAAAGTACCATATTGTAAATTGTGACAGAGTGCTGTTCTGGGTGTCAGCAAGGAACATAGAAAACCCACAATATGAAAAGACATGGATGCTAAATAGAAGCACACAAGTCTAATTCATTAGCAGAATACAAAGGCGCAGACCAGTCAACAACAATAACAACAACAAATTGCATTTATATAGCAACTTTCATGTCGGGAGAACATCCAAAGGCGCTGGAAAGATTGGATTCTTCCCACTCTTATCTCGGTGCCCATCCAGCATTGTAAAGTCAAGCTTTGAGACATCCTTCCATTGTGAAAGGTGCTCTATCATTGTAAATTGTATTGTATTGTTAACCCAAGCCAAAGCTCTAACAGCTAGGGTAGTTAGGGCTTGATCAATTATCTCAATGGCAATTTTAGTGACTTTAGCTGATACTCCAGCAGTACCCTAATGCACATGATAGGGTCCCCAAGCCTTGACTCTTGCCACCCTTCACCTGATTGGGTAAGCAGGGTGCACCCCTCCAGGGAGTGTGTGGAGTCGATTCCAAAAAAAGGGAAATTTCCAGGTGCAGTTTGGCACACATGTGTGGATAACTGTCTGGTTTGGATATTGCACAACAAAAAATGTCTCACTGTAATACTACTGTGTGCCAACAGTTCTCTTTCTTTGCTACTTTCTTACTCTCTCATTCATTCTTTTTTTTCTCTCCAGCCGAGTCTCTTTTCTTCATTCATATTCAGGGTTCGGTTTCCACCTTGATAGGTATCCAACGAGGTAAGCAGCTGCATACGCATGATGAAACCATCATTCAATGGGTAAGGATGTGTGCCCGAGCAGGAAGATAGTGGCAGCGCTCACGTGCATTTCATACTGAGCTGTGATGCCCACCAGAAAGCTCACAGAAAGTTTCTGTCAAATGCCATCCATCCAATGAGGGTTCAAATCTGCACTCGTTGGATCTCAAATGACCAACGAGTGACTTTTCTCCTTATTGGGGAGGTAAGTGGGGTTTCTTTGGAGTAATACGTTTGGCAATGGAATGTCGAAATTGACAGTCTGTGGTGGTCTCGGTAGTCTAGTTCCTGAGTCAGGTAGGTCCACAGTAGTGGCCAGCCTGGCCCATCAGCAGACCAGTCATTGGGAATAGGGACTCTTCTAACTCAGCACATGTTAACCCTGCAAGCCAAAGCCATCATGTGTGAGGTAGTCCTAGCTGAACAAGCGCGGGAAAGCTTCCCAGACAGCGCTCTCAATGGTAAGCTATAAACTCCAGCTTTACCCCAAAATATATTCTGTGGTCCTCCAAGTCTTCGCTCTTGCTAAACTGTGCCAATACTCTCCATATTTAGGTAGACAGAATATCTCCCTCCAGGGAGAGAGTGTGTATTCCGCTCTAAATATGGAAATTTACATGTGTAAGTGGGATACATGAAACAACAACAACAAGATTCCATTTATAGAGCACCTTTCACGTCGGGAGGACGTCCCAAGGCGCTGTACAGTTGGGTCAGGACCCGAGCAGGGGGGAAATGGTGAGGGGAGGGAAGGAAGGGAGCGAGGGCTGGGTAGAGAGTCGAGAGGGGAGCTGAAGGCACGGTCAAAGAGAAAGGTCTTGAGACCGGCCTTGAAGGAGGAAAGGGAGGAAGCAAGGAGAAGGCACTGGGGGATAGAGTTCCAGAGCCTAGGGGCTGAGAGGCTGAAGGCCCGGCCACCGATGGTAGGGCGGTTGGGGTGGGGGATGTGGAGCAGACCGGAGCCAGAGGAACGGAGGGTACGGGCAGGTAAGTAGGGGGATAGTAGGTCAGAGAGGTAGGAGGGAGCAAGGCCGTGAATGGCCTTGTAGCTGAGGGTGAGGATCTTGAATCCGATCCTCTGGGGGATGGGGAGCCAGTGGAGGCGAGCGAGGGTGGGAGTGATGTGTTCCCGAAGCCTGGTGCGGGACAGTACACGAGCTGCAGAGTTCTGAATGACCTGCAGCTTGTGGAGGGAGGTGCCGGGAAGGCCGGCGAGGGGAGAGTTCCCATAGTCCAGCTTTGAGGTGATAAAGACTCGATCTGGTTTGGATGCTCTTAAACATGACGATGGGTTTCTGCATGTGTCAGACACCCAGCTGACCAAAAAAAAAGGCTCTTATTTCTCTAAGCTTTTTCTCTTCATATATGACTTTCTCTTTGTTCTAAAAGGCCTGCTTTCAGAAAATCAAACATTGAAGGCTTCCTGGTTTGTTTCCCTGGCAAAATTCCAAGCTTCCTATAGAAGTGACAGACCCGAATAATTCACACCACACTGAAGCACACCATTCAAACATGTTAAAACTTTGAAAAGAGGACGATGGATATTTAACTTCAACAAAAAAAGTTCTGAAATCAAATAACTCAACAGATTTCACAAAAAAGCAATGATTTCAACCACAGTCTCGTTGCTGCCTTACTTGAGTTGTTCTTATCCTGAAGCAGAACAGCAACCTCTGTGCTTGCCCAGGAGACTTGAACCAGGGATAAGCACAAGGAAAGACTCAGAAATCCATTCAGGTACATCCTGTACACTCGGCTCCAGAGAAAACTAATCTCAATCATATATTGAAATGTGGACCCACCTCTTGGAAACTTTTGCTTTTACTTTCCAGTCAAATCCCCAGTGATTTCTCGATTAAATCTGCCTTCAGTTTCATAGCTGGGGGTTTCCATATTAACTTCCCCAACATAATACAGCAAAGTCCAAATCCAGTCACACAGTTGCTGTACAATTCATTTATCAGCACATTTGTTTTGAAAATTGTTTGTAATTTTAAAAAATGCATCTAGTTCTATTTATATTCTCAAGAGTATTGAAAATAAAGCTGAGTCTGACAAATAATTTTGGAGTAGTTTTACATTTTTTTCATTTTGTTTTCCTTCTATTCTCTCTTCTCCTGAATACTTTGACTCTGGCTGGAGCTTCGTTCCAGCACACGAGCTGCCCACTCACAAGTATCTTGTCCAAGTCACCATTCCTCAGAGGGATCTGGGTCAGTGAGTGCTGGCAGATATTCCCCCATGAAGAGCAATACTGGGCATGCCTGATCTTGTGCTTACCCAATGTTCCAGCTTGTGAGCTAACCAGCAGCAGTGCCAGAATAGCAAGTAGATACAAACAAACTGATTGTTGTCTCACACAGCTCAACATCAGGGAGGCCAATTGTGGTGTTCCATATTACTGCCATTGCTGAGGTCAGGGAACTCAAATTACATTTGTATAGCGCCTTTCATGTCGGGAGGATGTCCCAAGGCGCTGGACAGTCAGAGGGATAGTTGAGGGTCAAACAAGACCCCAAGGTTCCGGACTGGCTTAGCAAGGTGGAGTCTTGTGGATGTTTAACTGAAGAAAGTTGGCTCTCATCCAGGACTTGATGTCTGACAGACATTCTGTCAGCACAGCAGTGGTCCTGGAGTTGAGGTTGGAGGCAGAGAGATAGAGTTGGGTGTCATCCGCATACATGTGGAAGTTGACCCCATGTCTGCGGATGATGACACCAAGAGGGAGCATATAATATTGACGAGGAGGGGCCCAAGGACAGAGCCCTGAAGAACGCCACACGAGACGGCCTGGGGCTAGAGGAGAAACCGTTTGTGGAGATGAAGTGGAGGCGGTGTGAGAGGTACGATCTGAACCATTCAAGGACAGAACCATGAAGGTTTAGGTGAGAGGAGAGGCAGTGGAGGAGGATAAAATGGTTGACGGTGTCGAAGGCAGCAGAGAGATCAAGGAGGACAAGGAGGTAGAGGGAGCCCTGGTCGCAGATGGACAGAATGTCATTTTTCACTTTGACAAGAGCTGTTTCTGTGCTGTGGGTGGCATGGAAACCTAATTGGAGGGGTTTGTGAAGAGAGTGGCGGGAGAGGAAAGAGCGAAGCTGGGAAGCAACAACTCATTCCAGCACCTTAGAGAGGAAAGGGAGGTTGGTGATGGGGCAGTAATTTGGGAGTAGAGATGGGTCCAGGGAGGGTTTTTTAAGGATAGGAGTGATGACGGTGGTTTTTAATGGGGTGGGAACAGTACCAGAGGACAGGGAGAGGTTTATGATGTCTGTGAGTAGAGGGGCAAGGAGGTGGAGCTAGGAGGTAAGGGCAGGGGTAGGGATGGGGTCGAGGTAGCAGGTGGTTGGTTTCATGCGGGTTATAGTGGTGATGAGAGAGGATGAGGAGTCAGATTCGAAGGTGTGGAGGGAGGGATGGGTAGGGGCTGGGTGGGAGGGGGAATGGGGTGTAGTAGACGGAAAGGCAGAGGCAGCCGAGCGGATCCCCTCAAATTTGGATTCGAGGAAGTCCAGCATCATCTCGCAGTTGGCATTTGAAGAAGGATGGGTGAGGCATGAGAGGGTGGGCGGAGGAACCAGTTCGTGATGTAGAAGAGGAGCCTGGGGTTGTCCTTAGCCTCCAAGAATGACAATTTAGCGGAGGCGAGGGCAGAGTGGTAGGATTTGATAAGGTCCAGCCAGATCTGCCGATGGACCGGTAAATTCGATTTAATCCAGGTGCGCTCAGCGGCATGCACCTATGCTTTAGGGGAGCAGAGGTGGCTGGTGTATCATGGTGACTTATGTGAATAGGAGACGGTTCAGGAAGAGAGGGGAGCAAGGGAATCGAGAGTGGAGGAGAGGGTGCTGTGGAGAACAGTGACCAAAAAGGATAGGTCATTGCGGGAGGAAGCCCAGAGGGGAAGGAGTTCAGATGACTCCAAGACAGCCGAGAGGAAATGGGGGGGCAATTTTTTTCCAGGGGCGATAGGAGATGGATGTGGGTTGGGTGGAGGTGGGGAGAGTGATTGAGGAGTTAAGGGATTGGACAGACATTGAAGCTAACTATCAAAACCAAAAAACACGCATTGAAGCTAACCATCAAAGCCATAAATTTATTCTGCACATCTCCTGGTGAAATGTCAAGTGGGTAATCTAAACAGGTACTTAGAGAGGACTGAATGCTGTGGATTCCATGGAAGCTGGAGGAGGTGGTTCCAGGAGCAATGGGTGTCACACATTCGCAGTGTGATAGCATTGGGTCTGAATCAAACAGTGCACACTCAACCCAAGCTCCTTCAATGCCTTTCTGAATGCCTCGGGAACTGTGAACTGAGCAGTTTTCACTTTATTATAAAAAGCAAAAAAAAAGCTAACATGACCAAACACCCAATTTTAGCCCACTGACCTCAAAGAGTACTAAAATCACTGGGAGGGAGATTTCCCAGCCTGCTTTAAGAGAGTGGGATGGGCAATATAAACCCAGCCTTCTGCTCCACATCTCAGCACTGCTGGGGGAAAACAGTTTTCTGCCAATCACAGTATTAAAGAGATGCCGAAATGTTGGAATGATGACAACGTGCTTGCGAAACCTTTCTTCCTTCATTTACAAACATACAAGTCTGGAATTGGGAGGTTTTTTTTTCTCTGCAGCACTGGGTTTCCACAAGGAAAAACAATGAATCGTGAATTAGTTCACATCCGATCAAATCCATGTGAGCTCCAGGATCATATGCGGTCAGTTGAGGTTTGGTTGAATGAAATGAAATTGCATAGAATCAGAATAAAGGCAAAATAATAAATCATCTGGTTTATTGTTCAGTGTTCTCAGCAACTTCTGTTTTTTTGGGATTTCCAGCATCTGCAGTATTTTGCCNTTTTTTTAATAATGATGTCTATCATTCTAAAAAGCTATAATTAAGGTTGGATGCTTTTATAACATATTGACAATTGTACTAATACAGAAAGCTACCCTTTCTCAAGACCACCAAAGAGAAAGTGGGCACCCCCAAGGAAACAAACGGGTAGAAATATACCACAGTAACAAATAAATGGATCAGATATAAAAAATATCCTTGAATTTGATATATCACCACTCACAATCGGAGAATTCTCAAAGCACTTCACAAGATTCACTACAAAGTGTAGTGACTGTATTTTCTAGGTGAACATGACAGATAATTTGTGCACAACAATATCCTACAAACAACAATGAGATTGTACAACATCCCAAATCTCTTAAATGGACAATACTACTTTGAATCAATGTTGTAATTTTCCCAGCTGAACTATCAATCGGAATTGTCCTGGATGCTAGTGGAGTTATATGGTACCTTGCTTAATATTCAAACTACATGAAGATACTGAATGGCCAAATACACTAAAACCTTGGCTAGCCGGACCAATGGGTCTGAGGGGGAGGGGGGAGGAAGATAAGGAAACTTGAGTTTGAAAAATTGTTGGATTGCAATAGGATTCATTAACAGCAACTGAGTTGCTGACAGAGAACCCAGGTGATAGCCAGCATTATATCTTGGCCCTGCAATTCCCTGTTCCAAAGCAATGGAAGTAGATTCCTTGTTGTCATATGTGATGTATTGCCTGTAACCATAAGGATTCGCTGTGACCAACTGAGTAGCTATTAGTAAATCTCATTGCAAGCCACCGATTCTTCAATCACAGTAACTGGGAGAAAATTGTGAGCATAAACTGCAAGAGACCAACAACCTAATAAAAAGGGAACAACTGTGGCCTCAAGAAAATAAAGAACTTTTCTACAGAAGGAATAACAAAGAGTTAAACAAAGCAAATACCGTATGACCTTGGTTACCTTTCAGAAAATGTAACAAGCAGATGCAGTAGCATATCTGCTGCAGGAATACGTGCTGACAAGACTTTAGAAACTGAGATATACATAAGGAAACCCAAAGATTAATCCGGGGCTAAATGAACCAAGCCTCAAGTTAGTGTGAGCTGGTCAGAATGAGCCTCGTATTACATCAGACCATTAACTGGAAGTTAGTGAACAATTGACTGGAAATTGATGAAAAACAGTACACAATGAAGGATTTGAAACTGATCATGTGATAGCGCTTGAGACGCATAAACTTTACTCTCTGGAAACCAAAGGATATTTCAGAGGAAACAGAACTATTTAACTGGTTTCTCCATGTGTTAGATAACAGGGTGACCAAAAAAAAAGCATGTGAGTCTTGACAGCAATGTTTAATCCAAAGCATCGTGGTAGAGAAACAGAATACAGCGGTCAAATCCTCGAAATACCCAAAGAGTTCACTCCAGTATACAAATTCCATTTTCTATTAGATATGATAAATAAGATATCAATGAGAGAAATATAATTGCCTAAGCATCTAGGGATAGTGGCAAACCAGGTATAGCAACAACAAATGCAGGATATTTTCACTATATGCTGTCTGAACAATTGACTGAAGCTAATCTTCAGAACAATCTCCCTCTTTACTAAAGATATTTTTTTATTTCAGTGTCCTTATTGCCTCTCTAAATGAGATAAAACAAATATTTTTTGCATTTACTATAGCACCTATAATATCAAACCGTCTCAAAGCTCTTTACAAGTAATTGCTGTCAAGTATAGAGTTTTTGTAGGCAGCCCCTTTGCACGCATTACAATCTGACAAACAGACATAACGCAAATTATAAATTTATCTGAAAGACTATTGGCCAAGACAATGGGAAATGTTTTACATCCACATGGACAGACAGACAAGGTTTTGATTGTAGTATGTCAAAGAATGGCACTTCCAGCATTGTAATTAAAAAATTGGAATTAAAAAATCTCTCAAGAGCGAATAACTTGGTGGAACAGACTCGATGAATGGCCTCCTGTTCTTGTTTCTGAGGTTCCCCCAGTACAGCACTGGAATGTTAGCCTAAACTGTGAGTTCAAAGTCTATAAATCCTTAATCTTCTGACCCACAGGCAAGAGTGCAAACAATTAAAACAAGCTGACTCCTACTAGTGGCTATCCTGTGGGATGTTAGGTAGTTGGAGCTATATTGGTTGCAAGGTGACACAACTGG